GCCAAGCCCTCCCCGCAGCCACGTGAAGCTGCTAAACGTTGCTGAATACAGAAGACGAGCACATCCGATGACTGTCACCAGCTGCCACTGTCACCCAGGGCCTTGTCAGGGAGCTCTGGGTGGTCCTGGAGCGCCTTCCCAGGGAGCCATCTGCAGAGCTGCTTTGCCACCCCCCTGTCCCCTAATCATTCGGGGACTGTCCCTCCCTCTCCCTGAAGGGCGCTCACTTGCAGAATCTGCCTGAAGGGAGTCTGCGGGCGCCCAGGACGTCAGGGCCCTGTCCCAGCAAGGGACATCCTCCCATAGAAGCGCTTCAGCCCCTGACCCCGAGGGAGGGTCTCAGGCGCCCCTTCCTCCCCGGGGGCCTCCCCTCCGGAGCCTGGCTGAGGCCACGAGGCTCAGCCTCCACTCAGAAAAGTCACAGGAGGGAGACCCCAGCTCCTGGAACGCAACCCCCAGACGCCAGTCACTGTGCCCCAGCCATGTGCCCGTCTGCCTGAGGCCACCCAGGCGCTGGAGAAGTGGGGTGGGTCTCCCAGCAGCCGCTGCTGGAGCCAGAGAACCGGGGACATCGGGCCACCCCCGAGGAGGAGAGCTGTGCACTCAGAGCTAGGGCCAGCCATGAGGCTAGTGACCCACTGCGGCCAGGACACAGTCCCCCAACTGGGCACCAAGCAGCGCCCCACCTCCTGCTCTGGAAGCCGGGAACCCTGACGGGCCTGGCCGGGCGGCCTGCTCAGGGTCTCCAGGGGCTGCCATCAAGAATCTCTCCAAGGGACGTCCCTGCCCTCAAGGGCCCCAGCTGGTCCCCAAGGCAGCCCACCTCAGGAGGGTGCAGCCCCTCCCTCTGTACCCAGGGGACGAGGAACCTTGGCAAGTTACGTCAGCCTCCAGCACGTGCTGTGCCAGGTCTCGGCTGCACAGCGCTGCCACCAGGCCCCAAGTACAGCCACCCACACAACCAGAGGACGTGGGCTCCCGGCAGACACAGGCCACAGAGCCCTCCCAGCCCACTGGGCTCCTCTGCTCCACTGGCTGGTCCTGCCCCAGGCCCTTTGCACTGCTGTGCTGAGCCCCCTCTCTAGGGCCCTGCCCCTCCGTCCCCAAGGGAGCTCGTCCCCGTTAGTGCAACACAACCACCCTCTGGAGGTCCTTCCCGATGGTCTCCATTTTCAAGAGTCTTCAGAAGAGGGGGACAGAGGTGGAGATGGCCATGTGAGGAACACGCACATGAGGGCCAGGAGGCCACAGACAAGGGAACGGCCAGGTGTCCCCCAGGGAGGCCTCTGCCCATCCTCATGGGACCCATTTCTGCTACCCTCTGTGGAGGCCAGCAGGGTGGGCTCCCTCATGCCTCCCCCAGGCTCTGGGAGCCCCGTGCCCCTCAGGGTCCCCCTCCCATCCCCCCGCCTGCTGTCCAAGCTCCCCTTATTTTTGGTACGGGGTGGGGGGACCCGGGGTGCTCCACCACTGAGCCCCCAGCCTGGCTGCCCACTTGCCCTCCTCCTCGGCCTCCTCGGCCTCCTGTGGCAGGGGTGGCCACTGCGCCTGGCTCCAGATCCCCCTTTATGAGGTCACACTGGGACAGGGCCAGCCCCAGGCCTTGCCCAACCTGGAGGCGTCCCTAAGCCACACCCTAACCCTGGCCCCCTCCCCTCCTCCTTTTCTACTTATTTTTTGTGTGGAGCTGGGATGAACCTGGGGCCTCCCGGGCCCGCCAGCACCCCACCTCCCAGCCCCTCTACCCTGGGGCGCCCCAGCCACCAGCACGCACCTCCTTCCCGCCTGCAGTCCCACCTCCGAGGGTCCCGAGAGACACCTGCACAGGGGGACGGCCCACCCCAGCAGGCAGCCACCTGTCCCCTGGAGGGACGCTGCTGTGACTGGGTGTGGCTCATGTGCTGGGAGCGTCCCTGAGCAGGGAAGGTGGAGGTGGCTGGTCACAGGGCGGTCCTTGGAAGGAACTGCTGTCTCCCAGACCTAGGCCACCCCAGGGTGAGCCGGGCCTCCCCAGCTCTGCTCCCGGCTCACCGTGTGACCCTCCCTCTGGCACCCACTCCTGCCACATGTGATGCCACAGTAGGCAACGCGGTTACGGTGGCCCTTGCCAGAGCCAAGCCTCGGGGACTGTGAGCCAAACAAACTTCTTTATAAAAGGCCCGACCTTGGGCGCCGCGCTGCAGCGACAGCAAACGAACCGACACCGGATCCGGGCACCAACAGTGGTACGCGGGGCCCGCGGAGCCGGGGCCACCCCAAACCCTGCTCGATCCTGGCAGAGAGCTGGTGCCCAGCCAGTGCGGCAAGGCCCTTTTAGTGGTTCTAGACAGTTCTATGGGGCAAGGGATGGAGCCAAGTAGGGAAGGACGTCCCCATCCCAGAACACGGCTGCCCTCAGGCCAGGAGGCCGCGGGCGCTGGGCTTGCAGGAGCTCAACCTGGACCCTGCAGGTGGGAAGGAACCCGGAGGTGCTGCAGGGCCGCTGCAGGTGGCACAGAAACGGAGTCCCCCGCAGCCTCGCTGGCCCTCAGCCTGGGTGACGCTGCTGCTGCTGCCTGTGGCCCAGGTCGTGTGGAGCCTCCTGCCCAGACCATGAGCAGCTCCCGCCTCGGACGGCCGCACCGAGGCCTGCGATGCCCTGGGCCTGGGCCTGGGTGGGGCTCTCAGTTGCTGCCGTCGCTGTCCCCACTGTCCCCGTACGTGCCCAGCTGGCTCAGGGAGGAGGTGCCAGGCGTGCGGGGGGCCGGGTCTGCAGCCTTCTTGCTCTCCGGGGCACCTGTGGGGACAGGAGAGGCTCAGGGACAGGTGGAGTGGCCCAGCCTGTGGAGGGCGCCTGGAGGGGACTCGGCCACCTGGCCTCCGGCCTGTGGCCCGCGGACGCCTCCCTGGCAGGTGAAGCACTGCTGAGTGGAGACGGCTCCCTGTCCAAGTTGAGCCGCTGTGACAGAGTGGGCAGGGTCCGGGCCCACCGTCCACCCTGCTGCGCGGCTCCAGGTGAGGCCCCTGCACATCTGGCTGAAGGGGCGACATGGGACTGGCCACAGTGGCTTATGGCGCCTGGACGTCCCACCAGGGAGTGCCCGCCATCTTCCTGCCAGCCGTGCCACATTTCTGCTTGAATTTTAAAGGACAGGACAGAGGCGGGTGGGGGTCCCTTGGTGCAGGCCAGGTAAGCAGGCGGGAGGCCGGGTGGGCAGCCAGGTGGCTCAGCCCCGTGACCCGTCCCACCCACCATTCTCCACCTCAGAGCTGATGTGGGCTGGGGGCCGTGCAGCCGTGAACACCTGCCAGGGGTCCGCAGGGGACCGTGACATCTGAAGACAGGGGTGGCGGGCCACGGGGCTTAGCTATAAGCTGCTGTGTGACTTGGATCTTGTGAGTGAGGTGCAGGGAGGGAGGCCGGCCTCCCGTGGGCCTGGCCAGCGCTGCAGCAGAGCCACAGCAGCCCGGGCCTTGGGCCTTGAGGGGCCACTTTCATCTGTAATTAAAGGAAAAATGAGCCCCAGCCCTTCTCCCCTGGTCCAGTAACTGGCCGCTGTGGGGGACAGGCCGCGCCCCACCCCACATGAAGCTTCTAGAACCGTAAGGGCACTGCTGCCAACCGGGGCGGCGGGAGGCACTGCGCCCAGCTCTGGGGACCTCACCTGGGCTGGGGCCCTGCCCCGTGCTCCCCGCCGCCGCGGCCGTCTTTGCCTTCTTCACCATGACCAGGCCCGACAGCTGGGCCCGGCCCGCGCTCTCTGCCTTCCTCTTGGCCTTCGGGGCCTGTGGGGTGACCGGACTCGTGAGTGGCCTGCCCCAGTCCAGTCCCTCGCTGGGCTCCCTGCCCAGCCCCTGCCCTGCTGTCACCTGACGAGCCATGGCCCGAGGCTGGGAGTGGCGTCCTGCGCCTCCTCCCCTCACACCCCGTTGGCACCTGGCCTTCGCGCCCACTCCTCCCTGACGGCCCTTCCCTCCTCCTGCCCTGGCCAGCTCCGACTCGTCCCTCAAGACCCGGCGAGTGTCTCTCGGAGGCCCGAGTGCCCAGGCCCTGGCTGCCTGTTAGCTGTCTGCCCGGCCCCGCGGGCGGCCAGGTCCTGTCGCCACGCTGGTCCGCTGCCCCCACAGGTTCCTGCCCCTCCCTGGGCGCCAGTCACCATGTCTGAGGGTCCAGGGGAAACGGAGGCCCTGCCCGGGAGGGGGCAGGAAGGGGCTCAGCAGGACTCTTCACCCCCCCCCCCGCCCGGGGCCCTGTCCCCGTGTGTTTAAACAGAACTGGCAACCTTGGGACTGAGGCCCTGCGGGCGGGACAGCGAGGGGTGCGGGACAGGCAGACGTCCAGCTCAGGTGTGCCCAGCACCGTCCCCCCAGGCGGGCAGCGGGGCAGCACTCTCAAAGGTGCTGGGGGCATCGGTGGTGCTGAGGGACCCTGAGGGACGAGGAGGGGGAGCAGAGGGGAGGGGCTGCAGGAGCAGGACCCAGGCCCTGGGCGGTGGCGGTGGGTGGGCAACACCAGGGGCCAGCAGCGGGGGCAGAGCTCTCTTGACCTTCTGTGCTGGGCGAACCCAGGGCCTCCTGGGTGTGAGGGGGGAGAAGCCAATGTCCGTACAGTTGGAACTGCTGTCACCTGAGGTCTGCCCAGTGGCTAGCGCTGGACCTGGCTGCCCACCAAGCTCTGTTCTTCCCTCCTGTCCAGTTAGCGGTGCGGTCAGCCCGGTCAGCTAGCCAGCCTCCTCCCAGCCTCCCTCGCAGCGAGACTCAGCCTGGAGACCATGTTCTGGTCCAGGGGGATGTTGGGGGCCATGGTGGGCCACACCCGGGTCTGCGGGAGCCCCCATCCCCTGCTTCCCCTCAGCTGCAACGCGGTGCCACGGGCCACCTGGGTCACCTGGGCCACCTGGACAGGCACAGCCGCTCCAAGAGACACTCCAGGAGCCGCAGCCCCTGAATGGCTCAGTAGGGCCAGCAGAGCTGCCCAGAAGTCCTGACCGCCCAGGGGACTGGCTTGTGACCAGAAACAAACCTCAGTGTCCACTCTGCCCGAGCTTCCCAGGCTCAGCAGGGAGGGAACAGCAGACCCGCCACTCGTCACCCGGTTTCAACAACAGTTGGCGCATGGCACAGGGCCTAAGGCGGCCAGAGCAGCTGCAGCGCCAGCTGCCCAGCCTTCCAGGGCCGCCCAGCTGCCCCGGCTCCCCGTCCCCCCGTCCCCCCCGTGCCCGCAGCACTGCGGCAGGGGGCCCGGGCTCACCTCGTGCAGGATGGCGGTGGGCTGGGGCCGCAGCGCGGGCCGGGGCGGGGCGGGCGCGGCCTCGTCCTCAGAGTCCGAGTCCTCCAGCAGCCGCTGCCTCCGCGCTTCCTCCAGCAAGGCCCTGCGGGAAGGCCAGGGCGGGGGGCACTCTGCAGGGGACTCGGCCAGGACCCCCTGCCAGGGCCCTACCGTCCCTGCGGGATGTGGGAAGGGCGCACCACGTGTTGAGACTCACCCCCCTCCTCCCTGAGGGGTGAGTGGCCAGGTGCCTGGACGCTGAGGCCAGCGCGTCTGGGCTGCAGCCCTGGTTGGGGACTATTCGGGACTGCCTGGACACTGGCCTCAGCCCTGGACCCGCTGACGGCCACAGCAACCGCCAAGGCAGGGCAGGGGGCAAGTGCCAGGTACGTAGCTGGCTGTGGCAGAGTGACCACTGCCTGCCCCAGGTGCCACCAAGCCCGGCTGTGCTCTGACCCCACCCAAGGCCCAGGGGGACAGAGATACAGCTACAGGACAGGACTGACCAGCAATGGAGCAAAGCTACAGAAGGCGCATGGTGGTCAGGGGTCAGGCACTGACCCAGGAGGCCTGCGGCTGTGACCCCAGAATACAGCTGGGGCTCCCCTCCCCACGGGGGGTGCTGGGCCTAACCCTGGGGGAAGTTGCTGCTCTCCCTGGAGCCTGGCTGCTGGGCGGCCTGAGGGGCCTGAGGGAGGACCTGGGGGCCTAGGGGGGCCTGGGGGGCCTTGGGGACCTGTGTGACTCCCCAGGACAAGAAAGGGTCTCTGCCAGCCCGCAGTGACCTCTGCTCTGCCACCGCAGCTCACTGTGGGGAAACCGGGTGGCCCGGGTGCCCCTGGAAGACTCCGGAGCCCTGCCTGGGACTGGGACTGCCCTCCCAGTCCCCGCGCCGTCTCCAGCAGGTGGCTCTGCTCTGGGACCCGCCACCCAGCACCACAGCCGACGGTGTGGCTTGGTGGCCAGCACCTGCCCAGCACGGGGGACAATCCCACAAGAAAACCAAACCCACGGCCCCGGACGCCCGGTGCTGAGCCTGGGGACCCCAGGGGACGGCGGAGCACAGTGGGCTCGAGGACCCCAGGACAGATGCCGTGAGAGACCATGAGGGACGGTGGCCCCAGGAAGGGGGGTGCCGGGGCACGGGCGGCCACTCACGCGGTCTCCTGCTCGTCCTCCTCCTGCTGCCGCCGCCGGCGCTCCTCCTCCGACAGGCGGTGCTGCCGCAGCATGGCCTCGAAGTCCACGTGCGCCTGGCGCTGGTTGAGCTCCTTCAGCTCCTGCAGGTTCTCCAGCACCTCCATCTCCAGCTTGGAGTCCTTGGTGCGGTTCTCCAGCACCTGCGGCACCCGGCGTCAAGGCCACGCCCAGCCTGGCCACCACCCTGGGCGCCCCTCCACTCAGGAGGGCCCCTCGGGTCCACGGGAACCCTGAGGTTTGGGGAGTGACCGCCACAGCCGGCCCCAGAGAAGCGGGGTCCAGCCTGGCACCTTCCTCGAGGGCAGTGGGTACAGGACAACCGGCACCCGCTCCAGGGTCTGGCCAAGGTGCCCAACCTCACCAAAGCAGCCAGGCTCAGGGACTGGGCCACACAGGGGACTTGGCGGCCAGCAGAACGGGCGGGGGACACTACCCGGGTGCTGCCGGCTGTGTGACCGCCAGGCCTGCCCTGTGGAACTGCATCCGGGGGGCCGTGAGGAACACCCACAGGCTTCCCCTGGGTCCTCCCAGAGCAGGCGCAGAACAGCCTGACGCACGAGCACCCAGAGGCCCAGAGCGCGAGTGGCCTGACGGGCTCCGGGAAGCACCTGTCCTCTGCGGACCAGCTCCTGCCCCTCCTCTCCCCTGCTGGGTAACTTGGGCTCCGCAGCACTGCCTCCTGGCCGGGGTCAGGAGTGCCCTGGTCATCTCACGGGCCTCCCTGGCTGCCCGCAGGCTGCAGGCCCAGCCCCACTGCAGGGGCTCCTCCAGGGCGGAGGCCCAGGGCCCCTTCCTCTTCTGGCTTTCCTGGCTCCCAGAGGCCACCTGCTTGCTTCCCCCTGGTGACCCCCGTGCTGCTCCGAGCTGTCCTGTCTAGACTCGATTAGAGGGGCGGGTGGCAGACCAAGTCCCCCTGGAGAGCCCCTGGGCCAGGGCAGCTGTGCACAGTGACAGGCCCCAGGCCCAGGGAGGAGGCTCCTTCCTCACCACAGCCCAGGCCCACGCGGAGGGCGTGGGTCAGCAGGCGGCCCCGCCCCGCGCAGCGCACCCACCTTCATGGGGTTGTTCAGCTCCTCGTCCTCCCTCTCCTTCTGCACCCGCTTCTCCTCCTCCTCCAGGAGCTTCTCCGCCTGGAAGTTCCGCGTGGCCCCGTGCTCCATGGTGTAGTCGGTGTTTTCAGGGTCTGTCTGGGAGGGGCAGCAGGAGTCTGGGTGCCAGGGCACCGGGAGGGCAGTCCAGGCTGCTCCCCGCTCAGGGGCTTAACTCTTCCCCATCCGCTGCGCCCTCCCCGACTCCCGCAAAGGCAAGGCCTACTGAGGTGGATGGCGCAAGGCGTCCATCCTCTGGAGGAGCAAGCATGTTTCTGGGAACGGGCTGGTTTGTTTCTGTGTTCCTTTAATAAGTCGCGACTTCTCGGGCTGGGGATCTAGCTCAGTTGGTAGAGTGCTTGCTTAGCATGCACAAGACCCTGGGTTCAAACCCCAGCACCACCAAGAAAAAAAAGAAAAAAAAAAGTTGTGACTTCTCATATGACCATTAAGAATGAAGGAAAAAATGTGACTTTCCCAATTAATGCAACTACTTCTGGAGAATAGATCTGTTTGCTCTAAGTGCAAGGATTCAGCTGTGGAACATAAATTGTTAATGTTTAATGAGAAACCCCCTGTAGGAAAAACAGTCAGGGAAGTTTTTGAGAAATTAAAATCTAAAGAAGAAGAATCAATGTTGGGGCTGGGGATGTGGCTGAAGCGGTAGCGCGCTCGCCTGGCATGTGTGCGGCCCAGGTTCGATCTTCAGCACCACATACAGACAAAGATGTTCTGTCCGCCAAAAAAAAAAAGCATTGTGTTGTGTCCATCTACACCTAAAAAAAATATTAAAAAATTAACGTTAAGAAGAGAGATTAGTGCTTGGTACTGGGCAACTTGTTCTTGTCCCTGTGCACAATGGTTTGTGCTCTTACTCTTGTTTGATTAAAATTAGAAGCCTCTCTTTTCAAGCTAACCACTTGCCATAACTGTGGCGCTGCTTCTAGTCAGTAAGTCAAGAAAGAATAGTCAAGATGTTGGCCAATAGTCTGGGACGTTTCTATTATTAAAAATTAACTAAGCAGAAATAGCTCAAAGCAAAATTCGAACTTAAAGGAAAAATGGTCCCTTATGCATAAGCCAAGAGACATTCTTCTTATCTAATTGTAGCTACGTAATATTCTGTTTCGTTGAATCATGATTCCTGTTTTGTAACCACAAAGTACTGTGAGCCTGCCAAAATGAAAAGTATGTATGATCAACTTCACAAGTAAAGACGGGGGTCAGCACCTTCACTTCTGTCTGTGTTGTTTCTCTGCCGCCTTTCACCGACTCCTCACCATCTCCTGAGACCCCCTGTTGGAGCTGGACGCCGACACCCATCCTTGTCCCTCTTCCTGCCCTGTGGCTTGGCGGGCCTGGTTCTTCCCTTCTAGGCTCCATCCCGTCTGCAGATAGCTCCCTGGCTGGGCTCTGAACCCCCCCACCTGTCCTCTTCACCCTCTGCCTCCGCTCCACGGCCTCCGCACATCTGCAAACCCACCTTCAGACCTTCACCCATGTGTGCCCTCCCCTTCTCTGTGTGGCTGTGTGAGACACTTGGTCCTTGGTTAAAAGTCACACCCCAGGTATGAATACAGCGTGCCCCCGGCCTCCGGGATCAGACGCGGAGCTGAACGCTGGGATCCACCCGGAGGTCCTACTTGGCAAATGGTGACGTTCCGCGGTTGGTATCTGACTGGGACAGATGTACCACGGCCATGGGAGATGCTGACACTGGGGCAGCAGGTGGACAGGAGCTGCCCAGGCTACCTTCATGACTTTTCTGCGATCTACAAGTATCCAGGAAGAGCGTGACCCCTGTGGTGTGTGTGTGTGTGTGTGTGTGTGTGTGTGTGTGTGTGCACGCGCGCGTGCCTAGAAAAAAAATTCCTTTGGCACCCTGGGGACTAAATCCAGGCAAGCACTCTATGTCTGAGCCACACGCCCTGCCCTGCCTCAGCCCCGAGTGGCAGTAACTGCAGAAGTGGGCCACTGAGCCTGACCGGCCTAGAAACATTTTTTAAAATCACGTAAGCAAATGTCATGAGCGTTTGCCCATCTGCATGGCGCCTGGCTGGGCAGGTGGCGGCGGGTGACAGCAGGACTTTTCAGGAAGGCAGTGCTGTGTGGATTCTGTTCTTAGCCCACGTCCACACGGGCGTCAGTATAAAGGGTTAAGACTGTTGGTCTTTGAAAAACACATGCATGTTCATATTCATGAACTTCAGAATTCAGGTTAAAATCCATTTTCCTCTTTTTTAGTACCAGGATTTACCCAGGGATGCTTGACCACTGAGCCACATCCTCAGCCCTTTTTATTTTTGATTTTGAGATAGGGTCTTGCTAAGTTGCTCAGGACAGTGGAAGAACAGGAGTCCGCCTGAGTTGCTAAGTGCACCACTGTGCCTGGCTTAAAATGTATAATTTTTTAGAAATATTTATTTTTTAGTTGTAGTTGGACACAACACCTTTATTTCACTTATTTATTTTTATGTGGTGCTGAGGATCCAACCCTGGGTCTCGTACATGCGAGGTGAGTGCTCTACTGCTGAGCCACAACCCCAGCCCCAAAACGTATAATTTTTAAAAATGTACTTTTTGTTCATTTAAGTAAAAAAAAATTTAATTGCAAAAAAACAAAGCTTACAGCAGAAACACAAACAAGAACAACAATAAGAAACCATGCCAAACCCTCAGACACGGCAGAGTATGGAAAACAGTGTCCAAGAGTGTCCCCCAGGGCTGGGGACACAGCTCAGGGGTGGAGCGCTCGTCCTGCCTGCCCAAGGCCCTGGGTTCAATCCCCAGCACCAAGAAAAGTTCTCCTCATCCTGTCCCCAAATCCTTACGGTGATGACCAAAAGCAAAGTGTGTCTTTGCGGCCTGTGGAGGCTCCCAGCAGCGTCTCCCCCGACTCCACCTGGGCTGCCTCAGCTGCTCCGTGGTCCCCTCTCCAGGCCCTCCTGCTTCCGGGATGAACTGTAAAGGGGTTTCCCTGGGGGGGGGGGTGCAGGTGCGGTGGCCGGCCCTACCTTGAAAGTGATCTCGGCCAAGCAGCGCGTGCACTTGATGTAGAACCTGAAGATGGGCAGGCCCAGGTAGACCTCGTTCTGCACCGTCTCCTTGCGAGCATTGAACTTCTTGCCCTTGTAGATGTACTCTCCACACGTCTTACACCTGGGGGCACGGACTCGCACTGCCGCAGACTGCCACCCCCCTCCCTCCCAGGCCCGGCCCCCCGCTGCTCTCCTTGCCCCTGTCCACAGGCTGCCTCCTTGGGGAGCGCCCAGCCCGGGGAGGTCAGCCTGCCCGACCTTCCTGGAACAAGCCTGTGCTCAAGGACATCCAGGTCGCCAGGCAGAGGCTGACAGAGCTCCTGCCACCCATCCACTACGGCCCTGGGCTCCCAGCCCCAGCACGCTCTCCTCCTGTTCTTCCTGCAAGCTCCTCCGTCTTGGTCCTACCTCAGGGCCTTTGCTTGCAGTTCCCACACCTGTGACACCCTCTTCCCCAGCCCTCGGCTCCACTGGTACTTCTTTTGACGTTTCTCTGCTGACCCCAGTTAAGAGGCCCTCCCCCTCCCGCCTGATGAGCACGTCCACATGCGCCCTGTGCGTATCCACCTGATGACCCATCACCTCCACTTCCTGCACACTGTGGGTCCCAGGGTTGTCCCCGGCACCTGTGTACACACTGGCGCTGACAAACGGGGCCTGATAAAGACTGCTGAAGGAGGGAGTGAGGGAACAGAGACAGAAAACGATCCGGTCCCTGACATTCTCCATCCCACTGCCCCCAGGTGTCCTGACTGACAGGTGGATGGGATTCCAGGTGCGCTGAAATGTGAACACTGTGCGACCCAGAGTTAACTGAATCTAGTAATTTGACAGGGGGAGAAAGGGCAAGATCTGGGTGCTATGGGAGGGTGATGGCTGAGCTGGTGGGTCACGGTGGGGTGAGGCCAGCCCACGGCAGCTTCAGACAGACTGTGGCTCCTGCAAAGGCCCTGAGGCAGCAAAGGCCTGACTGATGGGGCCGCTGAGATGAAGGGGCAGCCCTCTGTGTCTTCACACCTGCACTAGGGTGGACATGGCGGATTCTGCTGGGGCTCTAAGCGATCAGGGAGTCGAACCTCGCGAGGGCAGGGCGGGGCGGTGCTGAGAGGCTGCGGGCTCACTGGGTTGATGTCGAAGCCTGGGCTGGGGACTTGGGCTGCACCCGGGGACGGGCCAGCTCTGTGGAGGTGGTCACCCTGTCCATCTTCTGTGAATGGGGTGGCCCCACAGGACACTCACCTCATGTTGAACGGGGCCATCAACCGCACTACGTACTGCCGGTCCTTGGGGAGCTTGAGTTTGGGGATCTTTGACGGGTCGAAGTCTGGAGGGTAGTATTTCTGTGGAGAGGAAGGAAGTGTCTTTCAGACATGGGGGCAGGCTGTGGGCAGAGGTAAGAGGCCTGGGAACCTTGTCAGGGCAAGATCATCCCAGGGCTGGGGACTGGAGGGCGTCCTCCCCGGAGGGCATCCTCACTGCCGAGGTTTATCAACCAAAGGATTCCAAGAACCATCAGCCAGGGTCCTGGAGGGGAGGTCAGGTGGGTGGTGCAGACAAGTTTCCAGAACCTTCTTCAAGCAGTCACAAGATGCATGGAATACCACAATGAGTTGGGACAACATGCACAAAATGAGCCTACCAGGGAATCTCCCAGACCCACGGCTGCCCCTTCTGCCCAGCGTGTGCCAAGATTCAAGACTCCCACAAAAGCACCGGGGTTCAGCACCAACCACATTGTTGGCACAAACAGCACAGGTACCGAGAGCCACTGTCATCAGGGAACCATCCCGAAATTCAAGCTCCCAGACACCAGCCAAGAAAAAACGGGCAAGCAGCCTCTTCTTTCTTTTTGCCCTTGGTTCCCCCCTTTCTGCAGTGTGGGGAACGGCTCCCAGGCCTCACACATGCTAGGCAAGACCTCTACCACTGGGCTGGGGATGTGGCTCGGGCGGTGGCGCGCTCGCCTGGTATGCGTGCGACCCGGGTTCGATCCTCAGCACCACATACCAACAAAGATGTTGTGTCCACCGAGAACTGAAAAATAAATATTAAAAAAAAATTCTCTCTCTCTCTCCCTCTCTCTCTCCCCTCTCTCACTCTCTTTAAAAAAAAAAAAAAAAAAAAAAAAAAGACCTCTACCACTGAGGTGCTCACTCCCTCCCCTCGACTTTTTATTTTGACAGGATCTTACTAAGTTGCCCAGGCTGCCCTCCAACTTGCCTTCCTCCTGCCTCAGCCTCCCAAGTTGCTGGGATCATAGGCGTGCACCACTGAACATAGCTGAAAGCAAACTTTAAAGACAGCAGCCTCCTGCCTGCTCTTGTAACTGCTTTCTGCACAGGAATGGAGCTGAGACACAGGATGGCCAGTTTGGGTTATAAAAATAACTCCACTGCACTATCAGAAGATAAGGCGCTTCCTGTGAGCACCCAGTGAACCTCAAGCACCACAGAGGGCCCCGTCTCCCTCACCTCGAGGAACCCTAGCAAAGATTCTACCAGAGAGCAATGTGCCTATTTTACAGAGGAGGAAACGGAACCTTCCTTGCTTCATCTACTCAGGAATCAGATATTGTTGACATAACTCTGGAGAAAACTGGTGTCTCGAAGTGTAGGTACATGGCCAACAGACTTCTAATGTCCCCTCAACACATAGGGGGAACTGAGGACCTGGGGATAGTCCCCCACTTGCAGAGCCCATGTGCAAAGCCTAACCCTTCCAAGGAACAGGATTGGCTAGAGCCACCAAGAGGGGCAGCGCTCTCGCCGAACGTGGTGGTGCAGAACAGTCTCCTCCCGCGGAAATCCCAGTCTAGCGAGGGGATTGGATGATGATGATGATTGCAAGCTCCGCCCCCAGAAGGCGAGGCTTCGCGGACGCCCACCACCCGAGGACGGTGATTGGGAGGAGTTTCGGAAGCCCCTCCCCGCGGAAGGCCGTTGAGGGGGGCGAAAAAAGTTCCAAAAGGAAATTACAGGAAGTCCACCTCCCCCGGAGTTCCCCGGTGTCCCGCGCCAGATAGAAAGCCCTGGTTGCCAAATACTTACGTTTAAAACTTTGCGCTCCGACATCTTTGCCGCCTTCTTGTCTCGCTAGTTCCAGACAACGGGTTAGACTCGTTATTTATGCAGCTTCTCTGACTATTGTACTTCCGCTTACGTCACTTCCTTCGGCTTCTATTACTGACTGCAACCTACACAGCTTGCCTTTCTCATTGGCTCTGACTGCAGCCTATCAAGCTTCGAGTCCTCCTATCTTCGCTCCGGAGTTCCAACTTCGGTGGCGCGAAAGAAAGGTTCTGGGGTCGGTGTAGGTCTGAGAAGTTGGAGGAGGTGCAGCGCCCTCCGGAGGTCGGCAGCGGCGCGGCTGGCCGGGGACGCCGCCGTTCACTCTTTGACTCGGCAAAGTATGTAGCGTGTTCGGCGCCCGCCGGCCCCGCCCCGGGCTCCGGCCGCGGCGCTCGCGCGGGGCCCGGTGGCTCTACGTTCTGTGCGCTCTACGCCCGCGGCCCCCGCCCTGCGGGCCCGGGTTCGGTCCGGGCGGGAGTCGAGACGCGCAGGAGCTGGGTCCGCGCGGTTCTGGCTGCGGCGGGTCCATGCGCGCCGGGCCCTCCGCGGCGGCCCGTGCGTGGCCGTGGCGAGTGACCACTTGCTGCTGCTGGTGGTGGAGTCGCGCAGGCGCCCTCGTGGTCGGCGGGCCGGCGTGGAGGGACAGGGCTGGTGGCCACGGAGAGGCCGTGTGCCCGAATGCCCCCAGTTCCCGCTGCCACCGTGTCCTCTGCCTTAGAAGGGCCTTTGTGCAGCCTCGTAATTGAGGATAACTCCCCTTAATTTTCATTAATTTTTAAAAGATGTTTTTAGTTGTCAATGGACCTTTATTTTATTTATTTATATGTGGTACCGAGAATCGGACCCAGGACCTGGCACCTGCCAGGCAAGCGCTCTGCCACCGAGCCACCGCCCAGCCCCTAATGTCATCGACTTAATGAAAGATCTCTCATCTTGAGCACACTTTTGAGTACGGCTGGTGTCAACCCAGAAGAACCAAAAGCACTTTCAAGTCCACGGCTTTCTTGGTTGTGGCAGGGACCGTGTTCACAGGCCCAGAGATGAGGGCTAGGTGTCTGGAGCTCTACTCTGCCTGCCCGGGACTGGGCCTCCCCGTGGCACCAGGAGACCAAGACCCCACCGCTTGGTGGCCAGGGTGTGAGGGGGAGGCTGTCTGCGAGTGCTTTTGAGTTGAGACCCCTGGGAGGTCCATTGGAAAGCCCACGCCCTTTCTCTGACCTTCAGGGCCTGGCTCCCTGTAGGCTCCTCAGGTTTACCCTTCCCTGGCGACTCCTGCTTCTGGGCAGCCTTAGGAGGGGAGTGGAGCAAGCCCTGAACCTCACGGATTCTGCCGAAGCATTCCAGGCAGAAGTCTGCCCCCCACCCCTTGATACCCCCAGGCCCTGGTCTGTGTCCAGAGCTGGCCCCCTGGGCAGGGTGACTTGCTGAGTCTGTGCCCTTCTGCACTTTTCTCACCTCGGGTTCATCTCAAGGGCAGGGCCTGGGGCTGAGTCCTCTCTGGGTCTTGCCTGAGTGAATGGAGGTGCTGAGATCCGTGTGTCCCGTAGTCAAGTGCTGGGATGGATCCAGGCCTCCCCTCAGCAGTGGGTTGGGCACCCAGGGAGGGGGCTGAGCAGGGGAGAGTGTAGCCCTCCCCTCTCACCTCACGCTCCCCTGCCTTTGCACCTCCGCCCTGGCATGACACAGAGGCGGCCCTTGATGGGGGCCAGCGCCAGCCATGCCCACAGGCTTCCGGGCAGCCTTTCTATTCATTCTGCATAGGCGCCCAGCTCTGCCCCCGCCCGGGGGTTCTGTTCTCTGAACACAGAATGGATGGAGACGGGCTTCTGTCAACAGTTCTTCTAATTAAATTATCTAATAAAAGTATGTGAGGTTCACGGTTCACAGAGCCCCCCGCTGTGTGGGGGGAGGGCATGTCCCTGCTTCTCTGTGGGAAATGGAGGCTCAGGCAGGCAGAGTTACTGGTCAAGGTCACTGTCTTCGGGCTGCAGTGGAGCCAGAGGTGTGCTCAGGCCAGGGGGATGCCATCCACCCTCTGCACAGTGGCAGGGAGGGGGTGTCCAAGGACCCAGTCCCTGTGGAGTCCCAGGAGGCTGCTACATGCCCAGGGTCATGGCGGGGGCAGCAGGGAGACTCCAGTCACTGGGCTCCCCGTAGTCCGTGACGTCCTGGGCTGCCACCTGGATGCAGTACCTGGCCTGGGGCCGCACAGCTCTGAGGGTGAAGCTCGTGGCTTCGATGGGCCCCACCTGTGAGTAGAGAGGGTCGTTGGGAGGTGGGTGGGGCCTGTGCACAGAGACCCCGGCAGCTGCCAGCCCTGCCCCAGGACGCTGGTCCCCATGCCCTGTGTGGCCCTGGTATGTTTGGGGCCTGGTTTGGGTGTGAAGTCTGTCCCCACTGCGGGGGTCTGATGCTTAGAGGTGAGGCTTTGGAAAGGGATCAGGACTGGAGGAGGTCCTCAGGGGAGCCCCGTGGTGTATCCCTGTGGTGCGTCCCTGGTGACTAAGAAGAGCCAGAGGCCAGAGGAGACACAGGCTCCCTGGCTCTGGCCACATGATGCCCTGCTGGAGCGTAGGCCACCCCCAGGGCAGGCCCTCCTCCTTGGGCCGCCACAGGCCTCCCTTCTCTCCCTGCAGCCTCGGGTGCTTCTATGTGCAATAGTCCAGCACGCCCTGTTCTCACCAGCCCCTCTGTCCTCTCTGGGACCTAGAGCTGGGCCGCCGTGGTCCCCTGTGGACCCCGTGGGCCCTGTGCATGATGCAGCTATGAGTGCCCGTGCTGGGACCCCTCCCAACAGTCATCCTCCCTGGGCGCTGCCAGGGCTCCAGGTGCAGATGCCCACACTGTGTGTCCCTCATCCGCACGTGGTCATGGGCTGTCCCGCCTTTGGCTGTGCGTGTCACGGCTGTGACCCTGGGCACCTTCCCACTTGTTGAGTCCCTGCTTTTGGTTCTGGGTTGGCGCCAGCCGTGGACTTGCTGGACAGCTCTACTTACAGTCTAGTGGCCCCAAGCTGAGTGCCAGGGCCCAGGTGCCCCCAGCCTCCCGTGCCCCCCTGGACCTCACCTGGCGGAAGCGGGAGGCTCCCTGACGCCTGTATCGGATCCAGTACTTCAGAGAGAAGACCTCGGGGAAGGGCCAGGACCGAGGGGGCTCCCAGCGCACCTGCAGCTGCCGCCCAGGGAGGGGGCTGAGGCGCACGGCCTCCGGGGGGTCCGGTTTGACTGTGGAGCAGCAGGAGGCAGGGTCAGGACGCGGCTCCATTCAGTCATTCACCCACCCAACAAGTGTCCCCTGAGCGCCCACCACCGCGCCAGACAGAGGACGCAGTGGAGACCCACACTGGCCACTGCTGGGCCCTGGAGCTCACAAGGTCAGGAGGAGGGGAAACAGGTGCAGGTTGGTGGGGCAGGACGGGAGTCGCTGTGTTTCTGTGGGAGACACAGATCCTGCACTCTCCACTGAGGCGGAGGACTCTGGTGTCCCAGCTGTCACCAAGTTATGCAGCCCCCCAGCCCTGCACCACGGGGCCGAGGCCTGTCCCTGGACTCTCCTGTCCTGCACCTTCCCTTCCTCTGGAGCCATACTGGCCTGTGTGACTGTCACTGAGCACGAGGTCCTCAGGTCCACCCACACGGCAGGGCCCTTCTCCTCCCTCCTGCCCTGGCCAAGGACACTTTGGTGTGGATGGACCACTGTGCATCTGTCACCTGCAGGTGGCAGCTGGGCTGATCCACCTGGTCTCTGGGGACCTTCGTGTTTTACTAAACTCCACCAGTTTCTAATATTAAGGGTTGCATTTTTGCTTGATACGGGGACCTGCTGTTGCTGGGCTGGCCTGAAAGTTGTCATCTTCCTGCCTCATCCTCCCCAGTCACTGGAATGACGGCACGTGCCGCCGCCTACAGTTTGTGCATTTTTACCAACATACTTGAGAGGCCTCACTTGAGGTGACATCTGAGCAGAGACCTGAGGGAAATGAAAGGAGTGGGGACAGAGGACATCTGGGGGAAGGTGCTCCAGGCACAGAAAGGCCCTGAGGCAGGACAAGAGGGGGGTGGTGAGGAGCCTGGGTACCTGGAGCAGAGGGGAGGGAAGAGAGGAGGAGGGAGTGGACGGGCCCTGAGGGTGGCAGGGAGGACTTGGGCTTTGACCGAGGGAGGTGGGAGCCCTGCAGGGCTCTGGGTGAGGAAGGAGAGGCCGACGCAGGTGTTCAGGGCGCCCCCTGGTGGCTGCTGCGGGGATGGCGGGCCATGGGGCGAGGGTGGAGCCGGGGGTGGTGGGGGGTGAGGGGGTCAGGCGTCAGGGCGGGGGGAGGGGGAGGCAGGAGGGCGCCGCCGGCCCCGCCCGCACTTACTGACGTGCTCCGCCACGAAGGGCGCGAAGCCGCTGCTGGCGCCCCCGGGGCGCACGGCCGTGACGTTGAGCACGTAGGGCGACAGGGAGAACAGCTGGACGTCGGGGATGGTGCAGCCGGTGGCCTGGGGGGTCGGCTGGAGGCAGGGCCGGCTCTGCCCCTGGGCGGCCACACCGAGCCTGGACGCGGGAGGCAGCAGGTCTCAGCGAGGGGGAGCAGGGCAGCCCTGGTCGGGTCCTGCCCTCGCTGGCTGTGTGACCCGGTGTCACAGCGCAGGGGGACCCAGAGTGTCCAGCACAGCCCCGGGAGGCACCAGGGTGCTGGGTTCTGAAGAGCCCATCGGGCAGGTCAGCGGGCTCACAGCCCAGGGACCCGGGGCTTCGCAGAGCTTCGGATTCGGGGACCGCGATGTGGCTCCGCGCCGGGGCCCCCGCAGCATCCGCTGAACCCGGGCCTCCCGCGGGCCAGGGAGGGAGCTGAACCCGCGCCTCATGGGGCTGGGCAAGCACCAGCCTCGGAGCCACACCCCACCCCTTTTTATTTTGAGACAGGGTCGCCCCAGTTGCCTAGGCTGGCTTTGAACTTGTGAACCTCCCCCTCAGCCTCCCAGATAACTGGGATGACGGCGAGTGCCACTCTGCCTGGCTGTTCATATTGGTTTTACGCAGCAGCGTCTAGAAGGTTCCACGTGCATGGTGGCCTGTGGTGTGCGCTATGGCTGTCCTACGGTTTCCACTGGATGGGGCTGCGCCCGAATTCCAAAGGCTGGGATGTGTGGGTCTCCAAGGGCTCTCACAGCCAGAGGCTGGCCCCTCCCCAAGTCCCCTAGAGGTCCCTTCTCGCCCCTCTGACCTGTATGTGGCAATGAAGGTTGTGGCTGTGGTGCAGTTGGGAGCTGGTGGCAGGGTCCAGGAGCAGTCCACGGCCACCGGGTACCTAGAGGCACGGCACTGCACCCGAGGCTGGCTTGAAGACACTGGGGCCACCAGAGGAAGACAGGAGGGTGAGCCACCAGAGTGGTCACAGCCCTGGGCTCACCACCCTATCACCAGCCACACCGGGCACACAGTAGGTGCCCCATGAAGGAATGTGGAGAATGGGTACAGGGGTGACGGGTACCTGCCCCATCAGCCGCCCCACACACCGACCCAAGGCGGGCCCACCAGCCCATTTCCAGATGGGGAGGCTGAGGGTGAAGGACAGGAGCCTCCTGTCCACATGTGGGCACGCTGCTCCGGAGTGGACGCAGGCAGTTCCAGTTCTCCCTATGGTGGCCCCTGAGTGTGTGCAGGGGATGGTCCTGGGGCCCAAGATGCCCTGGTAGGAAATAGCGTGGGGTCTGCCTCGGACCCGCCCTGTCCTGCAGACCTGGAGCCATCTCCAGGTGACTCAGGAGACCCACCCTGTCACCGTCACATGGCGGTGGCTGTGCTCTTTAGGGGAAGGTGGGCGTGCCCAGGACAGCCACAACTCTCTTCCTGATGTTGTTGATCTGCGCTGGTTGTAACCCGTGGCTGTGGGACGAAGCTGCAGGCTGTGGCCCCCTTCCTGGCTGGCACCTGGGGATGGGTTTGACCCTGGCTTTCTGTTTCGCTGTCCGTTCACTGTGAGGGTGACCCTGCCCCACAGCAGGCATGTGGCCAGCCTGCGAGAGCCGAGGCTGAGGCGCAGCCCCTGCCCGCCCGACCCCCGGGGCCCTGCTTACCTGCCCTTCCCCCACAGGACCAGCCCCCTGCCCAGAGGGCCAGGGCCAGCAGGAGCCTCAGGGTCATGGCTGCGGTGACTGATCTCTCAGGGTCTGGCGTGGGGACTGCTGAGCTTGGCTAAAGGCAGGGCACTGGGGACCCGTGGGGAAAGCCCCGCCCGCCACCGAGCCTCCCTCCCCGGCTGGCTGACTCACTGGCCGGTTTGGGGGCAAGTGGAGAGATGAGCAAGGGCTGCGGAGTCCCCAGCCCCCCTCACTGGCCACCGAGGGTGCAGGCTGCAGAGAGCCCGGGGGTGGGGGCAGGGAAGGGGGACCGCAAAAGGGAGAAGTGACCCGGTGGCCTTTCCCAGCACAGCGGGCTGGGCTCTGGCCCTCCTTCCCTTCCTTCCGGCTGCAGCAGGAAGCAGGGTGGGGGGTCCCCGGGGAGGAGGACGAAGACACCCAGAAAGCAGGCAGACAGAGGGTTGCGGAGAGTCAGAGGTGGACCGGAAGAGGCTGAGAGGAGCGGAGATGGACAGAGACCCGAGAGAAGGACTCAGGATGGAGACTGAGGGACAGACGGAGAGATGGGCAAGTGACAGAGAGGGCCAGGGGGAGGAGAGGTGCAGGGGGACCAGACAGAGCTGCAGGGCACATGTGCCCCCCTCAGAGCCGCTGGCCCACTCCCCGGTCCAGGGATGGCCCCCCAGCCACAGCAACCCCGGAGGCCAGGCGCTGGAGAACAGCACCCCCACACTCCCCGTGCTGCTGGGGTGTCCAGGGTCAGCTGAGATCATCCTGTACTGGTGCCTGCCCAGGTCACCCAAGGAAACCCCCAGGACAGGCTGGACAGTACCAGGAAGTTCCCCGTCACAGCCCTGCCCCTCCCCCTTAGCTAAAAAGTGCCCAGAGTCCTCGGGGATTTCGGGGGATTTGCCAGAGGGACAGGGACAGGCTGGGGTCCGCTCCCCACCCACCCCTGAAAGTGAGGCTTGTGAAGAAATGTGGCCAGGTGCGGTGACGCACACCTGTCATCCCAGCAGCTCAGGAGCCTGCAGCCGGAAGATGGCCAGTGGAGGCCAGGCTGGGCCATGCAGTGAGACCCTGTCTCCAAATAAAAAGGGCAGGGGGTGGGCTCAGTCCCGGTACAGGAGAAACAGAGGAGTCTGGCGGTGTGCTCAGGGGAAAGAAAGGAAAGTGCAGTCCTTCACCTTTAGGTCTTTGTTCATTGTTGGGTTTTATTCCTTTTTTGAGGGGGGGGGGGGAGGAGGTACCAGGGGCCCTCGACCCCTGGGCCAAATCCCCAGCCCTATTTTGCATTTTATTTAGAGACAGAGTCTCAGTGAGTTGCTTAGAGCCTTGCTAAGTTGCTGAGGCTGCCTTTGAACTTGCGATCCTCCTGCCTCAGCCTCCCAAGCCACTGGGGTTACAGGTGTGCACCTCCCTGCCCGGTTTCTTCAATTTTTTATTTTTTGTACTGGGGATTGAACCCAGAGGTGTGTTATCTCTGAGCCACTTCCCTGGCCCTCTTTTTTTAAAAAAAATATTTATTTGTTTTTTAGGTGTAGATGGACACAACAGAATGCCTTTATTTTCATGTGGTGCTGAGGCCCGGTTCCCGCCTGTGCTAGGCGAGCGCTCTACTGCTGAGCCACAATCCCAGCCCCCCAGCCCTAGTTTTTATTTAGAGACAGGGTCTCACTGAGTAGCTGAGGCTGGCCAGGACCTGCGATCCTCCTGCCTCAGCCTCCCGAGCCGCTGGGTTTTCAGGTGTGGCTTGCCTGCGAGACAAGGCCAGCAGCAAGCTGCACCCCAGCCGACTACCTGGTGCTTTTCTGCACCCACTCTCATTTTAAAACATATTGCTGTGGAGGTTTTATCCTGTGGCTGAGTTTGGACGGGGCTCCTGTCCTGGGCCGCCCCTCCCTGCCCTGCCGCAGGCGCCCAGCAGGACCAGTCAGACAGGCCACGCGTGCATTTGTCTGTGCAGAGATATTTATTCCTGGATCGGTGTCCTCGGGACAGGACCCGGGCAGGACATACGCAGCTGCCCTGTGGGGAGGGCAGGCACACGGGACCAACCACAGTGTGCGGGGACAGCTGCAGTGATGGAGCCACTTAGGGGCAGTCGGGAGGGGACCCAGGCTGGTGTCCACGTGTCCAGTCCCAGCCGCCTGTGGGGCAGCGGCTGGCCGGGGGCCTGGGGTTCTGAGCCCGGCTGCGCAGCCCCCTGCTGGCCTCAGCGGCCCTGGGCCTGGAGCCTTTGCATCTGCAAGATCTGACTGAGAATCCGCTGCACGTCCTCGTCCATCTGGCCCTGGAAGCCGTGGGAACAGAGAGAGACCCTGGGGCCACCTGCCCAGCCTCTGTGTTCCCTGCACGCCCCCAGAAGGAAAATGGAGGCCAGAGCCAGGGCGGCCCAGAGATGCAGCTGGAGCCGTGACTCACCTGGATGGCATACAGGAGGTGGCTCCTATACAGTGCCACCACAGCACAGTGGTCACGGGCAGCCTCCTGTGGGCGCGAGGCGGGTGCTCAGAGGGGCAGCCCTCAGGCACCTCCCGCCTGCTTCACCGAGTCTGTTGCTCGCCCCAGGGTGGCACCAACGGCTGGACCCTGCGAATTCCTGCCCAGGCACCTGCCCTCCTGCCCCGGGGCCACCCAGGACTGTGCAGTGCGCCTGCGCGGCCCGCCCCTGGCCAGCGCCGTCCTCACCTCCATCTGCCGCTGCAGGGCCTTCACCTGGCCTCGGAGGGCCTCCACCTCGGCCTCCACCCGGGGTGCAGCTGGGGCAGCCGGCTGCTCCTTCAAGGCCTCCTTGAGGCTGAAGACTTCCTTGGACAGCTCTGTGATCTGGGGAGGGGGGTGTCGTCAGGCCACAGAACAGACCACACTTTCCATGTGGTGGAAGGCCCAAAGGACGTGCTTTGTTTTTTTTTTTTTTTTAATAAAGGAGGGGGAGAGAGAATTTTTTTATTTTTTTTTTTTTTTTTTTTTTTTTTAAAGAGAGAGTGAGAGAGGAGAGAGAGAGTGAGAGAGAGAGAATTTTTAACATTTATTTTTTAGTTCTTGGTGGACACAACATCTTTGTTGGTGTGTGGTGCTGAGGATCGAACCCGGGCCGCACGCATGCCAGGCGAGCGCGCTACTGCTGGAGCCACACCCCAGCCCCAGGACGTGCTTTGTGACAGGAAGATTCCACCAGATTCACATTTGAGGTTTGTGAACAGCTTCCTCTGCACACGACCGAGCCCACCCGTCGGGCTGTGTCCCCGGACTGCACCTGAGGGCAGGGGGTGGCCACGGCCGGCTGGGCCCTGCGGGTCAGAGGACATTTGTACTTTCTGGCCCTTTATAGGAAAAGGTCCCCTCCCGGCTCTCGGGGGTCTCCGCTGGTCTCTCTGGAAGGGGCGGGTGGGCATACAGCAGAGTTCAAGGCCACCTGGCTCGGCTGGCTGGAGTCCAGAGCCCTGGGCCCGCGTCCCTGATGGTTCAGGTGTTTTTTTGGACTAGGCGCCACTGAGCCGCCTCCCCAGCCGTTTTTAAGTTGCGAGGCTGGCTTGGAGCTCGCCATCCTCCTGCCGCTGCCTCCTGAGTGGCAGAGGTGACAGGCGTCATCAAGAAGGGGAGGCTCGGCTGGGCTGTGGCTCGGCGGTAGAGCGCTGGCCTGGCAGGAGTGGGTTTGATCCTCAGCACCACAATAAACAAACAAAGGTATGGTGTCCACGTGTAACTAAAAAATGTGTTTTTACAGAAGAAGGGCAGGCTCTACTCTTCTTGAGGGGGAAGGTGACCACCCGACCCGGTTTCTTCACCTGTGAAGTGGGCGATCCGCGCTCTTAAGCGACTGTGCTTCTGCACTAAGGTGAAGGTGGCCTGGCCACGGTGCACGCCTGGACGCGTCCAGGCCTGAGGATCCCCAGACCAGACGTCCTCCACCAGGGCCGTCCCGCCCGAGGGAACATGGGCCACGTCTGGGAACATGTGTGACTGTCACAGCTGCAGAGCTCCCGGCCCGGAGTGGGCAGAGGCCAGGGACGCTGCTGAGCACCCTGCAGGGCCTGGACGATGGACGGAAGCACAGCCCCAGCATCCCCGGAGCAGACCCCACTGTACACGAGCCGCAGTGCCAACTGCGACTTTATGGTCCTGGGCATCGACCTGGGGGGCTCGACCACCGAGTGACACCCCCAGGTCTTTTTTGTTTTTAATACAGGGTCTGGCTAAGCTGTCCAGGCTGCTGTGAGCTGGTGGTCCTCCTGCCTCAGCCTCCAGAGTAGCCAGAATTACAGATGTGACCTCCACTCCTGGCCCAATTGCAATTTCCTCATTTTACAGACGGAGAGGTAAAGTGACTTGTCCAGGGTTACACAGCGGTTCAGGGACAGGTATGTGGTCAGCACCCCAGGATATGGGGGTCACATGTATGACTGAGCCCCACTTCAGTTTTTGGAGGCTCAGTTTGTTCACCAGGAAAATGGAGTTAAAAGTGGTCTCTGGCTTTCAGGTTAGAGGTAGAGGAAAGTGGAACTGGGAGGAAGAGGGCCGGTCCGACGCCCGGCAGGCGCTGTTGTCGGTATTACTGGGGTTGTATTAGGAACAAAACTTGAAAACTGGGGTTCGCACCCTGGCTGAGCCATTGCCTGGCTTTGTGACTCTGAGCAAGTGGCTTCACTTCTCTGTGCCTAGGTTTCCTCAGTGGGGAGATTTACCTTGCAGACCTTATGAGCACTTGGCGGGAGGACGAACTGCAGGGCCTAGGGCCTGGCCGGCCTCAGCCCTGGGTAAACGCTCTGCAGCCTGGTGGCCGTGGCTGACCCCCTCCTCTGCCTGATCCCCATCTGCACGATGGGCTGGTTCCCCGACTCCGCTAGGAACCATCCTCTGCTGAGTGAGCCCATGGAGCATGGGATGGGTCACCCACCTTCTTGTCCTTCTCCTTGGCCTTGTCCAGGGCCTCCTGGGCGCGGCTCTGGGCCTCGCGTGCCCTCTCGGCTTCGGTCCGTAGGCTCCGTAGCTGCTGCTCCGCGGTGGCCAGCTGGGCCTCGGCCGCGTGCCGCTCGCTCTTCATGAACAGCGCCTCCCGCTGCACCTACGGCCCAAGCCCCCCGTGACTTTCGGGCACTGGGACCCCAGGCTTCTTGGCCTGAGGACGCTCAAGTCCGTGTTGACCCCAGCGGTGTGACCCACGTCAGTTCTGAATTCCTCTTGGCGCTGTGCACGTTCAGGCCCACCCCGCACCTCTGCTGTACTCGCTAGCTGTGTGTCCTGGACAAGTGATCTCGCCTCTCTGTGCCATTTCCTCAGATATGAAAAGAAGGGAATCTTGCTGGCTGCCATCTCGCGCAGCCGTGGCGTTTGCCTAGGGGGTGCCTGGCTCACCGTGCTGAGTGGGAGTCAGAGTTGTCATTTTTCCATATTATCATGTTCTCTGTCGGTGGTGCAAGTTCGTAGATTTCTTAGAAAAGGTAAGTAAACGAGAATTGGAGGAATAGCCGAAAACATGGAAAAGTGGATGCGTGCATTCACGGAAATAAAGATGGGGCAGCATTCCCTTTGCAAAGTTCCTTCTTGGAAGGGCGGATTGGCTTTAGAAATAGTTTCCCGGAGCCAGGTGTGGTGGCATGGGAGGCTGAGGCAGGAGGATGGCAAGTTGGAGGCCAGCCTCAGCAACTGAGCAAGATCCTGTCTCAAAATAAAATAAAAAGGACTGGGATGTGGCTCAGTGGTAGAGGACCCCTGGCTTCCATTCCCAGAACCAAAACATAAAAAATAAAATAAAATAAAAACAAAGCTCCAGGGGAAAATGGATTCTAAGTGCATACTCCCATCAGCACAGACTGGCTATATGTCAACAATGTTTAAAAACCAGAGCTGCGGAACTCACTCTAAAAATGAGTCACCGTGCAAAAGGTAAAATCTAGAAAATAAGCCTGAAGGTGGGCATAAATCACGACTGTGGACTCCAGGAAGTCGACTGAGGATTTAAGGGGTTTGAAAGCGTGTGTCCTTGAAGATAGATATTCTGCTGTGGATCACTGATCACTGACACTTGTACCAGTTACAGTTCTTGCTAGAGTGTAGAATAAACCCACGTAGGGGCCGGGGCTGGGGCTCGGGGGCAGAGCACTTGCCTAGCATGTGGGAGTCCCTGGGTTTGATTCTCAGCACTGTATACAAATAAATGAATAAATAAAATAAAGGTACATCAAAACTAAAAGAAATATTAAAAAATAAGCCCATGTGATCCACACACAGTGACTAGGAACGACTACTGTTTCCATCACACAGATGAGCAAGCAGAGGCACAGACAGGAAAATTCTTTCCTGATAACAGTCAAAGAATTCAGTTTCTTATTCAATATTTGTCAACACAGCTGCTTTTGTTGTTTGTTTAAGTAAAGAGATCAAGTCAAAGGTCCAACCTCAGGACAAAGACCAAACCAAACCAAACCAAAACCCTGGATTAAAGCAAAACAAAACAAAATAAAAACCTCAGCTGGCTGCAGTGGTGCATGCCTATAATTGCAGCTGAGGCAGGAGGCTGGGGCAGGAGGCTCACAAGTTCAAGGCCAGCCTTAGCAACTTTGAGAGACCCTGCCTCAAAATGAAAACTGGGCTGGGGGTAAGGCTCAGGGGAAGAATGCTTGCCTGGCATATTGAGGCCCTGGGTTCAATGCCCAGTCCTGGAAAAACAGATAGACCAAAAACAAGTCCAGTAGGTTAAAAACAATGAGATCAAAAATTCCTGCTCATAATATCTTCTTTCTAGAGTTTGGTCAGAGGGGTGAAAATTGTAAGAGCATTTTCAGGATACGGTGAAGCAGCCAGCTGGGAGAACCCACAGGGTCAACATGACCTCCAGAGTAAGAGGACATTGGGAGAAAACATGGGGTGGGGAGGAATCCGCTGCTTACAAAAATGGTGGTTGGGGCTGGGATGTGGCTCAAGCGGTAGCGCGCTCGCCTAGCATGCGTGCGGCCCGGGTTCGATCCTCAGCAGCACCACATACCAACAAAGATGTTGTGTCCGCCGAGAACTAAGA